CTATTCCCTTACAGGACTTGTTATTGCCAATTTAAACTTTGCTTAATGTGGGGTTTTGTTAGTAATGATAGGTTTTACCCGATCATCAAATACTTGTAATTGACTTCGTCGTAGGTAAAAACTTTAATATCATCAAATAGATATTTTTAATAATTTTAATCATTTTTTATTATCATCAAACTATGATTTTAATAACATTTAATTTATGGGTTGATCAATGAAATAGTGCCATACTGGATAATTATATAAATTGCACAACAATTTGCTTCTGTAAAACTTTACGATTTATCAAATTTTCAAACATTCAAAACCTTCAAATATACAAATATTTCCAAAAAATGCTAGACAAATTATTTATTTCCTGATGCTATTGGCCTGTGTGCCAGCTGTTATTGATTCAAAGCTCGAACACTCAACGTTGAGGCATGCTTTAGAGCAGACACTGGTTACCACAGTTGTTTGGTCTTCGATTTTGATTCACCAAGGCAAAATAGCCTGTTCTAGCGATGGTATATAGTGTTTCAAACTGGTCAATTTTGACGGCAAGCAAGGAAAAGTTGATTATCAAGTCAAATTTGCAAGCAGATTATCTGATGTGCAAACTTCCATTGATTCCGATCCTATTTGTGAAGAACCTGAGGCAAATGTGAATAAATGTCAATGGAGAATTCCTAATCATGGATTTGACATGTGACGTAAACGGTTATTGATATCAAACAAATTTGTAAATGTATTTTAACATATAAAAGTTTGACTAGATATTTTATGAAAAGTTCTATTCTAAATTTTTTTGTTAAACAAAGTTAATTTTTTGACATAAAGCTCATCTTCCAAATAATGATGATGTGATGATACTTCAACCTTCGAAAAAATGATCATTATTCAGAAAAATTTCGTTAAATATTTTGTTAATTTTTATTTTTATTTTCATTTTTGTTTATTTTTTGTGGTTTCATGTGTTGATTATCTTTGGGAAATGGAATTTTTTTTTAAAAAAAAAAGCTCGCGCCATGAGAACCTAAAATGTTGTCCAGTAGAAGCGGGAATGTATAGAAATATTTTATCAGATAAAAATTCGTAAATTATTGAATTAGAGATTAAAATATTTTTTTATTTCTTCAAGTGCAAAAAAAAAATAAAAAATAAAAATAAGAATAAAATCCTTGTATAGTGACGAAATAAATTTCTGGACTGGTATTTTGAACTTTCGACGCGAAATAATTTGCCAGCCCGCACACGTTCTTGAATCGGGTCCTGGCTGGGCTTCCAGTTCGTTGCAGGTCTCTGGTGAGAGATAATCATCATTAGGGAATTGGCGTAAAATCTTTTTATTGAAAAATATATAAATTGTAGGAGGATTTGAAAAGTACCGAAATAAATTTAGAAGACTGTTCCAAAATCTGTTCAAAAGCTATTTTTTAAAAATTTCAACTTTATTAATTCTAAATTTAAATTACCAATTTAGAGCATTTTTAATTGAGTTTCAATCTATTGATTAACGTTAAATATAAATTTATTGATCATACGGGCATTTTGTTATAAAAAGGAAATAAATTATTTATTAATTGCCTATGAACACTACTAATGAGTAACAAAGCTTAGTCTATGACGTCATTCTTCGTTATTTACGAATGACGTAATGATGATCGTCGATGATTGTTCATTGGCCAATTTTTGTTTTCTTTTTCTTCGAAAATAAATAGAGGATCTCGCAACTTCATTTTATCTTTATTCCAACTTTTCTTTACTTTTTGGTGGGTTTCGTTTTTCGTCTTTTTTTTTTTTTTTTTTTTTTTTTTAATAAAATAGAAATAAGCCATAAAATAACTTACATTTTATTATTTCAAGGAATCTTTTAAACGATGACTCGAAAAACACGACAGGTTCGCGTTCAAGGAGTCACTCGTGCTGTTGTCGCGCCAAGGCGACGTCCTATTTCTACAACTTCCCTTTCTTCTGTCCCCCCTTCAGTTTCCTCATCTTCAGCCCCTTTAACAGCTGTACCTCCTTCCTTTTCCCCTTCTAATACAGCTGCTTCTTCTTCTCTTTCTTCAGTTATTTCTTCCACTTCTTCTTCCTCTTCTTCGTCCTCTTCTTCTCCTTCTTTAAGTTTTTATTCTCACTCTCCTACATTTCCCGTTAGTTCCCCTACTTCCCCTACTTCTAATTCATCTTCAATTTCTTCTACTGGCCCAAACTTTTCCCCCTCCCCATTTCCTTCCCCTATTCTTGCAACTTCTTCTGTTCCCCCTAATAACCTTCCTGTTAGTTCTCTTTCTCTTTCCACCCTTCCTAATACCACTGCCTATCGTTCTCCCCCTTCCCCTCCTTCCCCCTCTTCTTTAAGTTTATCCCCTTATTCATCCCCTTCTACTTCCTCCATTTCTTCTTCTTCTACCAATTCTACTCCTTCTTTTACCCTCCCCGTTTTTAGCCGACCCTTTATTCACTATCGTCTTCTTAGGTGGCCAGAGCC